ATCCCCAACGTGGAGCTTCAACTCATGACCCTGAGGTCAAGAGTCGCATGCTCCACCAACTGAGCCAGCCAGGCGCCCCTCTTCTATCTAATCTATAAAATCAAGCATATTAGATAAGACTCTACCTATTTCACAAAGGCACCTGGCTGGCTCAGTCAGTTAAGCATCCAACTTCGGCTCAGATCACGATTTCACGATTTGTGGGTTCAAGAGCAGAGCCTGCTTGGGATTCTCTCTCTCTCCTGCTTGGGATTCTCTCTCTCTCCCCCTCTCTCTGCTCCTTCCATGTGCTCTCTCTCTCTCTTTCAAAATAAATAAATAACTTAAAAAAAAACACCTAAAATGGGAGTCTAAAAGACCACATAACTTCAAATCCCATACATTTTACACCTAACCAAAGTATCTCTCCCATTTAAGTGGTACCAAAAAGCTAAAGAACAACAGGACAATTTAAGAACAGAAATGATCCAGAAAACAATAAACAGGAGACTAACTAGGGAGACAAGTGGAGCAAACACTAGACAAGATAGAAATCCGAGTATTGGCGCTCTAGGGTAATGCTGCCACTATGTGCCTGACTTGGGAAAATCCATTCTCCTCTCTGGACCTCTATGTCTCCATCAGCAAAATGGAGTCGCGGATTCATTGATCCTTTTTCCAGCTCTGTGTGGTGATTCTATTTGGAAAACAGTGAAGCCAAAAATATGTGAGCAGGGGGAAAGGCTATGATTTTTCAAATCGCTCCAATTAAGGAAATAGCAAGAGTGGAGAAAGTCCCGGGACCGAAACAAGGAAGCCAGATGAGCCTCCCACGGGGCTCACAAGACAAGCCGTGACCTGTTTGGTGAGCCACACCTGCTCCTCACATTCCTTCCAAGGGCAGTCCCAGGCCTGTGCACACATCAGTGAAGAGGAATTCTGAGGGGAACTCCTGGAGGTAGAGACTAAACCCCGGAATATAGCTAGTTCTAGATACTCCTGCCCTCAGCAGATGCAAGCTGAGTTTCAAAACATACGTGTGAGGGGTTCTTCCTTAACACAAGTGAAGAAGAAAGGTGTCTCAACCCGCTTGGTGCCTAGGAGAACAGCCTGGGCTAGGAAGCCAAAGACAAAAGTTCTCAACCCTGGCTTTAGCACACCGAGGATGTGTGATTCAGAGCTACCCAAGCTCTTTGGACCTCGGTTTTCTGTCACATGAAATGGATAAGGTCTATAGGAGAGGAGCAAATTTAAGATACCCTGAACTCTAAGTGCTCATATTGTTCCAGGCACTTTATCAATTACTGCCCTTAATCTTTGCATTGATGAAAGAGATCTGTAGTTTCATGCAACACAAAGGGAAACTGCAGAGAGGTAAGGGACTTACCTACTTACCTGCCTAGTGGAGAAGGATTCGAACTCAGGTTTGTCATCACTTGGGCTATTTCCAGGAAGCCCATGTCTCAAAGACGATTCATGTACAAAGTGCTTTTGTGAAGTATTAAGTGCAATAAAGTGCAAAGACTCTTAGTCCTGAATTAATGCAGAAATTTAGAAATTATCCAGAAGGGACAGTCTATGAAGAAATTGGCATTTTCAGGGCTTTTTCCTTTGTTTAGCCGCCCACTCAACCCTCAATCTGTTTATTTTGTAGGCAGCCAGGTGAGTTTTTTGAAGTGACTCTTGAAACAATGGCAGTCTGCTGTAGTAAAAAGAATGCCAGCCTGTCTAGTTTCCAGCTGTGCCACGGGAACATTCATCTCCAGAAGTCACTAGCCTGTTCCCTCTGTAAAACGAGGGGCTAGGTTTGAGGGGCCATGGTCTCTTGAGCTAAGCTGGCTATTCAGTGACTCAGGGAAGCTGCACGAACGGTCTCACACTATTACAGTTCCCATTCTGGCCCCGGCCCCTTCCACTTTGAGGAAGCCAGCCAACATCCATCTTCTCCCCCTCCCCCTCCCCCTCCAAGCCCCATCTGAACCAGAGAGGACTTTGGGGGGGGGGGGGGGGCGGGGGCGGCGCCCTAGCAGGCGTGCTTACAGATTTAGGGATCCGCCAGCCACAGCCCCAAGCCGGAAAGGCCGCAGCTGAAACATACCACCCCCTTTTCTTACCTGTGTTTCAACCTTTGTGGGGCAGGCAGAAACCGCAGGGCAGGAGTGGGAGGAGCCATGATGGATTCCAGGGGAAGAAACTGAAATCCTGATTTAGCTATTTGCTGTCGGGGTAGCAACCACTCCCTCCTTTGTGCACACCCATTGTTGCCCCGGTTTCCCAGTAATTACCCTAACTTGTTTACCTGCAGGCTCCCCAACAGTGCCCTTCTAACACACTCCACATAAATGAATGCGAAGGGGTGAAAATGAGGAAGTAAGCATGAAGGAGCCAGGTTGCCAGTTTTTACAGCTAATAGGAAGCAGAAGTTTTTAAAGTGTATTATTGGTGAAATTTTAGGAAAACAACCTGGGTGCGTGCCACCCCCGCACTTCCACGGCCAGAGAGTAAGGCCCACTACAGACTAGCTGTAACTACTTGGAAGCTTCCTTTAACCTGTCTGGGAGCCACAATACTTGGCAATTAAGTAAACTGCCAAGGGCTAAATGGACATAATACCACTACTTGAGGCAGGGCAGGCATTCAAAGAACTACCGCATTTCTTTCTCCACCGGAGGTTCTTGAGAGAACCTAAAACTGGTCCCCTTTCCCTACAACAGCAGCTCGTTTTAGCCGCCTCCTTCAGACCCACCCTTATGCAGTCTGAGGGAGGCTTCCAATCTTATTTAGAAAAGCCAGTATTTAAACCAGCCTGTTAATGCATCTCAGGAAAACAGGAGAGGCAAAATGAAATGCCTGCTCCTGCAAAAAATAAAATAAAAAACGTGTTAGGATTTGAAATGAGAAATCTGAGCCCAGGGAAATGAGAGGACCTGAACGTGATATAAATCTGGAGCGAGTTTTCACAAACTCCCATCTTTTGGTCTGTACCTTTTACATATTTTATTACATTTGTGTTTTAAAAAAATCACATTAGCATTATCAACGACAAAATATGTACAAACATTTTACAAAAGAAACATTACTAATATCAGCTATAATAAGGGTGGGCTGAAGCACAGACGCGGAGTTTCGGGGGCAGAGTCTGCCCTCAAAAGACATCTCAAATGTGTTCAGGCAGTTGAGACAGGCTTCTTTCCCGGTGACAAGCACATGTGGTCGGTAATACAAACGACAGCAAATGAGGACACTACACGGGCTCAGTTGGCGAAATCCTCTTCTCACCAGGAAGGCCACGACACAAGTGGAGCTAATCAAATAACTTAACCCAGGACAGTAAAAGCGCCGTTCCCCCCACCTAAGCGCATTTAAGCCTTCAACATCGATTGCAAACGACGCTGGACTGTAATACAGACACGTGGTTCTTAGAACCCTGCGCCACACTTTAACTCTTCGAGCCAGGTTTCTTGTTGGACCCAAAGGGGAGGAATTTTAGAAATGCTTTCTCTGAAGGCAGAAGTCAGAAAGAGGTGACCCTGAGCCCAGAATCTATTAGACTTGATGGGGTGGGGAGAGGCAGGAATTAGAAAAGAGAAATGTCTCCTTTGGGCCACGAGTCAAGAAGCATGGCTCACTTTGGTCTGGGTACCCCGCCCTACACCCCCCCTGCCCCGCCGGTACCTACAAGCTCGGTTCCTTTCTCAACTCCCCCAGTTCTTTGACCTCCACCTTCTTGTACTTCCCCGACTTCCTCCGGTTGGTGATCACCAGGACGGCCACGCCGGCGACGAGGGCCACCACGACCACCACGATGACGGCGATGAGGCCGGCCGTGAGGCGCTTCATGGAGAACTCTGGGGGCTTCTCGTCCAGGTAGTAGATGAGCGTCCTCTCCACTAGGAGGGGCTCGCCGCGCACGCGCACGTCGAGGCCGCCGCGACCCGGGAACAGCGATTCGCCCTTGACGTCTCTCTCGAAGTAGTAGGCGGCGTCGGCGATGTCCACGTCGCCGGGGGCCTTCTCGGACGCGTTCTGCCGGAGCTCGATCTGGATGGTGGGCCGCTCGTAGTGCACGGCCGCCACGAACCTGGGGTGCAGCCTGTAGCGCTCACGGAAGAGCCGCCGCAGCTCGGCGTCCAGGTCCGAATGGTTGAAGGCGCGGGCGGCCGGGCGGTGGCGCAAGTCGATGAGGATGTGGTGGGTGCGCACCAGCTCGTCGCAGCGCAGACTCAGGTCGCCCTTGTCCGTGCGGCGCACGCCCACCGAGTTCACGCACCAGCACACCGACGTCTGGTTGCACTGGCGGGCCTTGAAGCGGCCCTCGTGGTCGCAGTCGGGGTCGTACAGGCCGTCGTTGTCCACGAGCGCGTGCTCGCTGGGCCGCACGAGCGCGCGGCCGCTCTTGGGGGTGCTCATGCGCGCCTTGAGCAGCAGGCACTTGGAAGTCAGCGTGGAGCAGTCCACCGGGAAGCCCGAGCCCAGCGCGCGGCACTGGCAGCGGCCGCCGGGGCCGTCCGCGCGGCACAGGGTCATCTTATTGGTGGCGCACGTGCAGTTGTCCTGCGCGGCCGCAGGGCCGGTCGCCGCCGCCAGGAGCAGCAACAGCAGCAGCGGCAGCGGGAGCGACGGCAGCGCGAGGCCCGGCTCCCGGGCCATGGTGGGGACGCGGAGCGCAGACGGGACGCGGGCGGATCAGGCGCTGGGGACTCCGCGGGGCTCCGGCTCCGAGCTGGGACAGTCTCCGGGCATCTGCCGCTGGCCGCTCCCTCCCGCTCTTATACTCCGCCCGACCTGCCCGGCTGGTTCGGCCGACTCACCCTCTGGTATTTGGGTGACACATCCCGCCCCCCGTCACCGTCCCACGGAAGGCACAGCCCGCCCTGCGCCGCCCGCGATAGGATCAGGGGAGCGGTGGCTGCTCCCGCCTCCTCCGGACCGAAAGCCCGGGAGAAGAAAACCGATACTCACCTGCGGGCTGCGGGGGCCCCGCCCCCGGCCCGCCCGACCCCACCTGGGGAGGAGCCGCGGTCGGTGCGGCCTCCAGCCAGACCTCCGTGGGCGTCCTGGCTGCCCTCCTGGACGGGAATTCTTAGGGATTTCATTGAAAAGTAGGGTCGTCTCGCGCGAGGTCGTCTCGCTTTTGTCCCCTATCCGCTTGCCTTTCTCGCTCCGTTTCCTACCCTCTATCGCTACCCTACCCCCAGGTCTTATAGTAGCAGTCAGTTGCATAGTTCACAGTTCACAAGCATTATCTCATCCTCTCCTAGGTCCTGACAGGTATTATGGACAATGTTTCAGACCCATTTTATAAGCGATGCAGTCGAGGCCGAGGCGTAAAGTCACTCAGCCGTCAATATCCTCAGATCCTTCGGAGGGGTCTTTGGTAATCTGCCTGGCAGTTATGAAAACTTACATCAATGTGTATGGAAACTGAAAGTTAGGGAGTTTTTGTTACTCACTGTATCATGAGTAAAACCCAGGTGCCCTGGTGTCCAATGCGTCAGAAGTTCTGTTAAACACCATTTTCCTTTACACACACACACACACACACACACACACACACACACAGAAACAAATAATGTTTATACATGAACTGAGTATGGGGAGACAAAAAGGAACTAGTTCTTAAAAAGAACAAGCAAGAGTATAAGGGGTTCTTTGTGCAACTTGATTCTAAAAGAGTAAATCGTTGCTTTTCTTTCTCTGTGTCCCATATAAGTTGCTGCACCACTGCAAATGAGGAAAGAATACAGACTGTGGGAAATTGGCTGGTCTGCCTCTGTGTGGCTGCTTTAATGGGATGGAGGGGTTGCAATCTCTTTTTTGAATCATTGAGAAAGTCCAGGGTTTCAAAGCTGTGGTAAAATTAACAATAATTAGCAAGCTGTAATTATTCCCAGCTCGTCCGTTCAAAGCACATTTTATGTGTTCAGCATTTAATGAACACCAGCAGCAGTACAAGGGTGTTGTTTAACACATGAAAGCCAGCGAGGCCTCTACCCCATTAATTTTCAAGCAATTCCTGAGGCGGGCAGGTGGAAATACAACATTCTGCATTTATAGGTAGAGAAAGCAGAGTCACGTGAGGGGCAATTTCTTATCCATAAGCCCCGGGCATTGTGGGAATGCTCCCCGGCTCTCTACCACCACTGTCTCTGTTTGTATGTTCAGGTTCTTTTTTTTTTTTTAGGTTTATTTTATTTTGAGAGAGAGAGAGAGAGCATGTGCATACGAGCAGGGGAGGGACAGAGACAGAGACAGAGGATCCCAAGCAGGCTCTGCACTGTCAGCACAGAGCCCCATGCAGGGCTCCATCTGACCAACCTTGAGATCACGACCTGAACCGAAATCAAGAGTCAGCCAGTCAAGTGACTGAGCCACTCAGGCGCCACCCTCTGTTTAGGTTCTTGAACCAAAAGCCTAGTCAGGTTCCACTGTCTTTTCCCTTCTCCAACACCCAGTCCTCCCTGTGGTCAGAGAAGGCTTTCTAAATCACAAATTTGTGTCTATCTCTGCGGAGAACAGAGTGGGAGGTGCTCTTGGCTCTTGGTATAGAATTCACACTTTTAAAAAAAATTTTTTTTCAATAAAAAAAAAATTTTATTTTTGGGACAGAGAGAGACAGAGCATGAATGGGGGAGGGGCAGAGAGAGAGGGAGACACAGAATCGGAAACAGGCTCCAGGCTCTGAGCCATCAGCCCAGAGCCCGACGCGGGGCTCGAACTCACGGACCGCGAGATCGTGACCTGGCTGAAGTCGGACGCTTAACTGACTGCGCCACCCAGGCGCCCCCACACTTTTTTTTAAAAGAAGGATATCTATCACACAATTTAGGTGTATTTATTTATTTTTTAGAGAGAGAGAGAACACGCAGGGAAGAGGCAGAAAGGGAGAGAGAGAATCTCAATCAGGCTTCTCACTGTCCACGCAAAGCCCAATGTGGAGCTCAAACCCATGAACCGTGAGATCATGGCCAAGCTGAAATCAAGAGTTGAATGCTTAACTGACTGAGCCACCCAGGCGCCCGTAGAAGAGTATCTGTTCTAACAGTGTCTGCACTTAGTATAAGCATGGATAGGGGTCAGCTGCTGTCGTGGTCACCACCACCATCAGCCCCCTCATCTTGATTCTGCTAGTGTCTCCAGTCTTCTTCACATTTTCAAGCCTTTGTCAAGTCGTGTACTCTCCCCTCAGCTATTTAGTGTATAATTGTGCGTTTCTACTGAGCCCTTGGATCGCTTCCAGGAAGCCTCCCCTGAGAGGCCCTGTCTATTGCACTCAGGGGAGTGCTCCCTCTCTGTGCTTTCCTAAATCCTGTAATGCACCAGACTTTTCTGGGCTTCTGTCTGCCCACGTGTAAAATGGAGATAATAGCATCTCTCTATTTCATGAGACATTCCAACAACCAAATCTAAAATAGATGAGACGGTAGATACCAAAGTTTTGTAAAATGTAAGACACGGTCAACATGTCAGGTTGCATTTTTATTTTTTAAATATCCTTTTTGTTCTACCAGCTCCTGACGAGGTAGCCACAATCCTCTATACGGGGCAGAGCTACCTGCTTGTTAGTCCAGTGCTTCCCAGGCTGGCAGCAGGAAAGCTAATGGGGAAGGGTTCTCAGGACTGAGCAATGTCCACAATGGTGCTTTTGGCTGCTTAGCTAGATCAGCCCCAAATGGCTGGACCTTTCTCAGGCGAGAGCTCTGAGGTCTCCAAACCTTGGCCTTTTTCATCCATGGTAAGTGTTTGGGGGATGCGGATAAAAGGAGCCCATTCTCAGTATCCTCTGTGGAAGATGGAGGGCCACCCCACCCTCTTTCCTTTCTTAAATTCTATGATCTGCCAGGCTTTCCCCCAACAGGCACACAAACACTATGATAAGTAATGTTTTTGTCTTGTTTTTACTTTTTAAATTTATTTTGATTTTTACTTTATTTTAGAGAGAGAGCACAAGCGGGGGAGAGGGGTAGAGGGGCTGAGGGAGAGGGGGAGAATCTTAAGCAGGCTTCATGCTCAGCTTGACATGGGGCTCGATCCCATGACCCTGGGATCATGACCAGAACCAAAATCAAGAGTCAGTTGATAGTTTTGGTGCTGCTTGTTTTTTATTGTTTTTGTATAGATTCTTTTGGGAGTTAGTTGGGAAATATTTTATTATTTTTTTAAGTAAGCTCTATGCCCAACATAAGGCTTGAACTCACAACCCCAAGACCAAAAGTCACATGCTTTGCTGACTGAGCCAGCCAGGCACCCCTAAGATGAGCTTATTAAGTAAGCACAGCCTCAGCTCTGATTCTCCTTTCTCGTTTCATCCCTTTTCTGAGTAGGTCTGTAAAATTTCACGTGTTAGCTTTAGCTCTTTGTATTTTTTTTTTTTCATTTTAATTTTCAAGTATTTAACAAAAGCATTCCATGAACTCAGCCTTGTCAAATGTATACCAGGGACAAGAACCATATCTGAGCACTATAACCCCAGCGCCAGCATATATTTAGGGGCTCGGTAATGTTTATTGGGTTAATTAACATTGAGTTGTTCCCAGAATGTTACAGTATCAATATACATTCCTGGGAGTGTTCATTGTGACCATTTCAATTCTCTGCTGTCCATTTCTCATCGCCTACTCCAACCATGAATCTCTATCCTTACCCTAACGCAACCTTCAAACACCCAGTTTCAAGGAAGACTGAGTAATGATGAACTGTTACTTTTGCTTTTATACATGATCCCAAACTTTCATCAGACTGTGCTATAGGGAATAGAGATAGAGTCTGACAGTCTATGAGCAGATGGGGATTCTGGAGGCAAGCAGTCCAGTGAGGTTGAAGGAAAATGGACTTTGGATCTAGTGAGACTCAGGCTCAAATCCTAGTTTCACATAACTTACTGGCTGTGTGACTTTGTACAAGTTACTTCACCCCTGGGAGCCTCAGTTTCCTTAATTATAAAATTTCATGTCTATCTCTTAAAACTTAATGTCTCCATCTCCCCAACATCTGTGAAAAGGATAATTTCCCACCTTGTGATTATGAACATGCTTTTCTTCAGTTGAAGTTCCTACTTCTCATATGTTCTTATACTCTGTTTTCTAAACTGGTGTTGATTATCTGACTTCGCTTGTTATGAGACCAATAAGGGTGTGATTTATTAAAAACAAAACACAAGAACAAAACTCTAGCTGATTAGTAAAAAAAAAAAATACTTACCATCTATAATTATTTTAATGACTCAAGATAAAGAATATAAAATACCCAACACAGTGTTTGGCATGTACTAAGTAGAATTAACCTTAGCTGTTATTATAAGCCATCTCAGGAGTGTGAGGATGCTTTGAGATCATTAAAGGTTTCTGCACAAAGCTGGTGACTGTGGAGATTACCAAAGATCAGGCCCAAGGAGCTGTTTGTTAGGGAGGGGAGCTGCCCCAGGGCCCTTGTCATCCTGGCCCCCTATTTTACAGAATGTGGAAACAGAGACCTTGGGAGGAGAAGAGAAGGACTTGATCATGGTCACATGCTTGTGCGTGGTAAGGCCAGGCCTAGAATCTGGGTCTCCTGACAGCACATGTACATACAAATTAACAAAAATGGAAGAGGACTGAAGGAGTCAAGAGGATAGAGTCTCATCTCATGTTCCTTGGATTTTCTTTTCTTTT